ACCTGAAACCATAAAACCAAAAGAAAACATAGGCAGTAATCTCTTGACCATCAACCTTAGCAACATATTTTTGTATATGTCTCTTGAGGGAAGGGAAGCAAAAGTAGAAATGAATTATTGGGATTACATCAAAATAAAAACCTTCTGCACAACAATGGAAACCATCAACAAAATAAAAAGGCATTTTTGGGAGAAGATATTTGTAAATGATATACCTGATAAGGAATTAATATTCAAAATGTATAAAGAACTTATACAAGGGGCATATGAGTGACTTAACTGGTTAAGCATCCAACTTCAGCTCAGGTCATGATGTCACCATTTATGGGTTCAGGCCCCATGTCAGCCTCTGTGCTGACAGCTCAGAGCCTGGAGCCTTCTTCAGATTCTGTGTCTCCCTCTCTCTCTGACCCTCCCCCACTCATACTGTCTCTCTCAAAAAGAAATAAAACATTTTTTAAATTTTTTTTTTCAATGTTTTTATTTTTTTTTTTTTATTTTTGGGACAGAGAGAGACAGAGCATGAATGGGGGAGGGGCAGAGAGAGAGGGAGACACAGAATCGGAAACAGGCTCCAGGCTCTGAGCCATCAGCCCAGAGCCTGACGCGGGGATCGAACTCACAGACCGGACCGCGAGATCGTGACCTGGCTGAAGTCGGACGCTTAACCGACTGCGCCACCCAGGCGCCCCAAACATTTTTTAAAAATCAAAAAAAAAGTATACAACTCAACACCAAAAAAACACAAATAACCCAATTAAAAATGGGCAGAGGATCTGAATAGACATTTTTCCAAAGAAGGCATTCAGGTGACCAAAAGACACATGAAAAGATGCTCAGCACCACTAATCATCAGGGAAATACAAATCACACATAGCCCCTAGCCCTCTTATTTCTTAAATAATGTCCTTCTATCAAGTGACTGTGGTTCCAGACCCTGATGGTTCAGATAAACAATGTGCCAAGTCTTGGCAGCAATGAGATATCACTTAACACCAGTCAGAATAACTAAAATCAAAAAGACAAGAAATAACAAGCGTTGGTGAAGATGTAGAAAAAGGAAATCCTCATACACTGTTGGTGGGAATGTAAATTGGTGCAGCAACTGTGGAAAATAGCAGGGAAGTTCCTTAAAAAATTAAAAATAAAAATACCATACAACCCAGTAATTCCATTACTGGGTATTTAAAGAAAATGAAAACACTAATTCAAAAAGATATTTGCAACCCGATGTTTATTGCAGCATTATTTACAGTGGCCATGATATGGAAGCAACCTAATTGTTCATCGATAGATAAATGAATAAAGGAGATGTGGTACACACACACACACACACACACACACACACCACCACCACCGCCACCACCATGTGCATACACACAATGGAATATTATTTGGCTTAAGGAAAGAATGAGATCTGGCTGTTTGCGACAACATGGGTGGACCTAGTAGATATTATGCTAGGTGAAATAAGTCAGAGAAAGACAAATACCATATGATTTCACTTATATGTGGAACCTAAAAAACAGAACAAATTAATAAGCAGAAATGGACTCATAAATGCAGAGAACAAATAAACTGGCAAATGCCAGAGGGGGGGAATGGGTGAAATAGGTGAAAGGGGATTAAGAAATACATACTTCCAGTTCTAAAATAAATAAGTTATGGAGATGAAAAGTAAAGCATAGAGCATATAGTCAGTAACATTCTAATAACATTGTATGGTGACAGATGGTGACTATACTTAGTGTGATAAGTACTACATAATGTATAGAATTGGTCCAATCACTCTTTTGGGCACCCAAAACTAATATAACACTATATGTCAACTTATTTCAATAATAAAAATTTTTAAAAAGAACTCAGTAGCTCAATATCCCATAGAGCAGCTTAAAGCAAAAGAGTAAGTCAACTTTTAAGATACTGTCTCATCCGTCTGGAATTAGAACTGTGGCTGATTTCCTAGCCCTGGAAGTTTCTTCTTCATGCCAAGTCCCCAAAGTCTTACTAATTCCTATTGCTCAAACAGAAGGAAAAAGTATCTGTCTAAAATTAAACCTCCCATAATGCAAGAGAAAACACATGGCTCTTTTATTTTTCCCAAATGTGAGGAATACAGTATGTTGTCTGATCCCAGTTTTGGAGAACTTGAGAGTCCTAAGAAAGGCTGAGCTTTTCAAAGCAAAAAGCTGTGCTCAGCTTTTCTGTCAATGTGACATCAGCCTCTTGTGCCCACATAGCCCCTAGCCCTCTTATTTCTTAAATAATGTCCTTCTATCAAGTGACTGTGGTTCCAGACCCTGATGGTTCAGATAAACAATGTGCCAAGTCCTGGCAGCAATATCTCTTCTCTGTGGGAAGGTCAGATAGTCCTTTAAAAAATCTGAGAGACACAAAAATATTACTAATACATGCATGAATTTAGAAAGGACTGCAAGATAAAACTTCTTGTCATACACACAAATACCTTCTACAACTTGTACCTAAGCTCCTTCTATGGGATCATCGCTCATCTCCCCCTCTCCTCCCACTTGCATATATTCAGTCTTCATGGCCTCCATGCTTTTGCATATGCTGTTCTCTCTGTTCTTTTTCACCTTCTCTGGTGGAAAACTCCGTCATCCTTGAGAATATTTCAGCTTCTCAGTAAAATAGCTCCCATCAACTCTATGGAAATTTAGTTACTTCCTTATCTGCATTTTTATAAGCCTTTGTTCACATCTCTATTATAACCTATTATATTATATGGTAATTATGTGTTAAATTGGAGGGCAGAGATCATATCTCAATCATCTAGTGCTCAACATAGCTCCTAGCTGATAGTAGATCCTCAAGGCATTTTTTAAACAAGTGAACATTGTCTAAACGGTTTGCTTAATTTGTAAGAAAAACTAATTTAGCAATATGGTTGTCTTCAATGAGACAATTTATTCTTATTTAATTGCAATAGGAAGAACACAGTGAAAGTACTAACTGCATCACTCCTGGAAGGCTGTCAATGATGTCAAACTTCCCTGAAGAAGTGGAAAAATCTACAAATTTAAAATGTTAAACATGGCATTGTAATAACAGTGAAAATGTGTTTATAAAATCATTCGCATTTCCAATTCTCCTTCCCCTCAACAGTGTATAACAAAAAAAAAAAAAATGATAAACAAACATCACATGGATACTTTGCATGAGAAGGGGTCTTCAAAAAACCAAAGTAATAGATTTTTATGGTCTGGTTTCATGGTTCAACCATCTGCTACATAGGAATCTCTATATTCTCCTTAAAAAATCCTCATGTAGCTTCTACTTGAACTCTTGCAGTGATGGGGGAACTCACTACTTAAGAAGGTACTTGATTCTTTATTTTAATAATTAAAATATCCAAGTTGAGCTCAAATCTGCCTTCTTGTAATCTTTAACCATTAAACTCCGTCTTTCCTTCCTTAAACCACAGAAAACATTTCTTCTTCTGTGTGATAGCCCCATAAAAAATTAAAAACATCTATATAGTCACCCCCACGTCTTTTCCAGACTTTTCCAATTTCATTCAACTGCTTCTCATTTGTCATGTTTTCCAACATTTTTAGCAACCCGGTTCAATCCTCTAGCCATGTTGCATTTTGTCTCTAGCACTTCCAAAATGGAGTCTGGACATACACTCCAGGTAAGATTTGCCCAGTAAAGAGGATTTCCCAGAGCAGGACTCATGCATATATCTCATTCTAGACTCTGTATAGGTACTGTCCAAACTTGGACTGGCTTGCACTTGAGGTAGAGTTGAACCTTGGCAATGGTTAGCAAGAAAGGGGATAATATGAAGCCTGGATAGGAACATAGCTAAGAAAAACAATTCAGTTCTGGGACTTTAGGTGGGAGTCAAGCTGCCTAAATGAGCCCTGGATATACCCAGGGCATTCAAGGGGTTTCGAACTGAGACCAGACTGTACCAATATTTGAAATCAGACAGGTGGCAGTACTATGCCTCTATCAGATTTTGGAGTAGGCCCTTAGTCACCAACGGGGGGAACCTAAGAATCAAGACCCAACCCCTGGGCAACGAGGCTGCAAAAGGCTAGGCAAATTAAAGACTGGAATTCAAAGAAGGGTTTCATTTCTAGGGCAAAACTGAGGTAGTAAGAATCAAAATGGCTCTGGAGTCATAAAGACCTTTGTTGAATTCCATCTTCTCCACTTTCCAAACCCAGTTTCCTCGTGTGAAAGCTGGGCTAATATCAGCATTTACTTTAAGGGATTGCTGAGAAGACTAAATGGGATAATACATATAAAGCCTGGCATATAGTTAGTGCTTATTAAATGTTTTCTGTGCAAATTAAAATGCATAAATGAAATTTAAGTGAAATGAATTTTAAGATAATTTCACACTTGAAGCTTTAAAATTAATTACAAAGTGCATTTTCTCAAAATATTTTTAACACTTCCTTTAAGAAAAGCAGTATGTCTATTTTTTTTTTTTTTTTTGAAATAGGAATAATATGGATTGGTTGAAAATGGATTCCAAAGTAAGAATAATATAATGTGATTCTTTACAACCCTCACAATAATTATACCAATAGTGTTATAACACTATATATATTGTTATATATAACACTATATGTTATAACAAATACACTTATTTTCAGATTTTACTTTCAAATAATAGCTCTACCATAAACCTTTGAAATCAGTCTTTCTTATAAATTCATTAATCCCGTCACAATTACACTTCAATATTTGTTAGAAATCTTTCCATAAACCCTTTTCCCAGCCCCACACTGTTTTCCTTTTAATATCCAATTATTTAAAATTTAAGAGGAATGGGCACCGCCCAATGGGGGTGTGTGTGTGGCTTTGAACCTATCGTTACCATCCAGAGAATGGGGAGTGACATTATCTGTGACAACAAAAAAGCTTCTTTTGGTGAGTGGAAGACCTATATATAAAAGTCACACTTGAGGGTCTCTACAGTCTAATTCATCAGCTTTCACCAGTTCACTCAACTTTGAGAAAGTATCAGCTGTCAAGACACCTGAAAGATCTTGTCACAACCTTGTGTGGTGAGTAATATTTATATTTTCTTTTAAATTTCATTTGAGGTTTTTTGTCATTATGAAGTAATTATGTGATGTGTGCTATTTTCTGCAAATATGCTGCTTGTTCAAGGTAAATTATTAAGGGAGAGTTTGAATTATGGTTAATATAAAAGAAATTTATGCTGCTAAAATGCTCTTGAATCATACATTTTTGTGATTAAAGTCTTTTGAGATGCTTTGTTTTTCTAAACTCATCTGAAATTACACAGAAAATAATTAAAATTTGGCATGATATGCTCTAATGGTTATCTTACTGAAATTTTGAAATAAAACAGCCTAGTGAGGAATGAGTAATTCTGATTTAAATAGCCAATACAAATGTGTGTTGTGTTAAAATTCATTTTAATGCAGAATATCCTTATCTAGATGGTTTGTTTTATGACTCGTGGAGAGCTCAATCTGTGTAACAGTTGGAGAAATTCAGTTTTACTCCTGGATATTTATTCCATTTACATAAAGCCTTTTCAAAATTGCTATTCTGAAAACTGTATGTGAATTTTAAGGGTGTTTTACAACTGTCTTTTTTAAGCTTTTTCATGACATTCTTGTAAGAAGCTCTTCTCTCTATTAAGAATAAGGAAGCTGGGGCACCTGGGTGGCTCAGTCCATTAAGCATCTGACTCTTGATTTTGGCTTAGGTCATGATCTCAGTTTGTGAGATTGAGCCCCGTGTTGGGCTCTGCACTGACAGTGCAGAGCTTAAGATTCTCTCTCTCCCTTCCTCTCTCTGTCCTTCCTGCTCTCTCTTTCTTTCTCTCAAAATAAACAAATAAACTTAAAATAATAATAATAATAAAAGAACAAGGAAGCCAAGGAGTCTTAAGTCACTAGGTAAATGTGACAAGGCTAGGACCAAATCCCAATGCTGTAGCTACAGTGCCTGTTTCTAACATAAACCAACACTGAAGAATATTCATTTGTTGCACCATCAGTAGTCTTATATTGCAGAGTAAAAATAAATGTGGATTATAATTTTTCTTATGCTACTTCTAAATGATGCCGTTTCCCTTTAAAAATATGAGCACATAGCCATTCTGTGTATGTTAAAATGGAGAACATTAAGCGTTAAGAAAAAGCACTTCTGTAATAATAGGCTTTGCAATTATTGAAATGCAGATTAAGGTAAGACTGTTCTATTCTGAGATGAAAAGCTTTATGGGCAAAAGAGGAAAGTGCTAAAAATTATACTCAAACAAGATTGTTAATAAAATAAGTCAAATAAGATAGACAAGCATTCCATATGGAGCCAAGGCTCTAACTCCATAAACAATTAATTAATGATTAGATGATGGATTAGATAATTTTAAAATACTTTGGCACATTCTTTTTAATGATAGAAGTGTGCATTAATTCATTAAAAATCTCTAAATCAGAGCCTATTCGTTTGATATTTATGACTATTATTGTAGTGCCTGAAATGAAGTTGACTTATGAGAAAAGAAACTTGCTTAGTAAATAGTGTTAGCAAGTTACCTAATTAAGAGAATTAGCCATTTTCAAGCAAATTATAAGCACTTAATCATAAGCAACATAAAACGTGGGAGGAAATTCTAAAAAGTAAGCCTTTTCAGTTCTCATATGGCTTAAATTCATATATTAAAAATTGTACAAAACTCTTAAAAGATACTTAAGAAAGGAGAACTAATCTGACTAATTTCAGAGTCAAATTTTGTGTGTATACAATATATACTAACGTATCTATAAAATAAAAGAGGCTGATTGTCAAAGTCTTTCATGAAAACCAATTCAATTACTTGGGATTTCTGTAACACTTTGTGCAGTTGTATGGCTGTAAAGGCAACTACTACAAATTTGATTGTACAGTTTGACACATTAAAAATATCTTTAAACGCTTCCATTTTCCTTTTCCTTTTAGTGAAGATGATGTCTTCGAAAGACATGGTTAAGGTCATGGTTGTCATGTTTGCAATTTGCTTTCTTGCAAAATCGGATGGGAAACCTGTTAAGTAAGTATCGTAAGCTGTTCTGCATGGTGAGGGCATGGGAGCTGGATTTTTAACGTTGGCTTTATGATTGGGAAGGGGGGAGCTAATGGAGTGGTCTTTCCCATTGCTGTTCCCTCCAGGAAGAGGTCTGTGAGTGAAATACAGTTTATGCATAACCTGGGCAAGCATCTGAGCTCCGTGGAGAGGGTAGAATGGCTGCGGAGGAAACTACAGGATGTACACAACTTTGTCGCCCTCGGAGCTCCAATAGCTCACAGAGATGGTGGTTCCCAGAGGCCCCGAAAAAAGGAAGACAATGTCCCGGCTGAGAACCATCAAAAAAGTCTTGGAGAAGCAGACAAAGCTGATGTGGATGTGTTAATCAAAGCTAAATCCCAGTGAAGACAGAGCAGAGCACTGCTATACACAGGATAGGGCAACAAAATTACATGCTGCTAACATTCTCAAGCTTTGGAGATCACCAAATGCCAATATTTACGTCTAATCCATGGCTAGCCACGATAGCTGAAATTCTAATTGATTGTTTTGATTCTACTTTTATTCATGTAAGGCCTCTTTTAATTATTCCATTTCTGTTGTTTATTCTTTTTAAAGTATGTTATTGCATAATTTATAAAAGAATAAAATTGCACTTTGTAACCTCTCTCCCATCGTACACTGCAAAATAAAAATTTAATGATCATAATTTTAAATAAATGAAGTTAAAGAGTTCTCATTTGTTATAAGAACGTTTTCAGGGCACCTGAAAGTTCAGTCGGTTAAGCGTCCGACCATGGCTCAGGTCATGATCTCACAGTTCGTGGGTTCAAGCTCCGCGTTGGGCTCTGTGCTGACAGCTTAGAGCCTGGAGCCTGCTTTGGATTTGTGTGTCTCTCTCTGTCTCTCCTCTGCTCATGCTATCTGTCTCTTTCTCTCAAAATAAATAAATAAACGTTAAAAAAATTTTAAGAACACTTTCTGGGGTTATGACTAATACCAAAGTGTTTAAATTGGTCATGAGTAGGAAGAATAATGCAAAATGTTTTTTTAATTATGTGTCTTACAGTCCCATATTTTGGACATCATCTTTTTAATATTACCAAAATCCTAGGTCCTGGAATCCTTACTAGCTAGATACTATCGCTCTCTTCATTTCAGGAAATTAAATGCCTTGCAAGGAAAGGCAAAAAAGTGGTCTGAAACTTGAGAAAACATTTGTCTACACACAAACCCACTGATCGTATTTCTAGACTGGACCCCAAATTGTAAAGAACAGAACTTTTGGGGGTACCTGACTGGCTCAATCACTTAAGTGTCCGACTTTGGCTCAGGTCATGATCTCATGGTTTGTTGGTTCAAGCCCCACATCAGGCTCTGTGCTGACAGCCCAGAGCCTAGAGCCTGTTTCAATTCTGTGTCTCCCTCTCTCTCTGCCCCTACCCCACTCGTGCTCTGTCTCTCTGTGTCTCTCAAAAATAAATAATAAACATTACAAAAATTTAAAAATAACGAATAGAATGTTTGTATTTATTAGGACATGATTTCATTCATTTGTCATTTAACAAATATCTAAATTTAGTATCCTTTATTTGTCATGTAATAGATTAGACACTGGGCATAAACTGGTAAACAAAATGGACACAGTTTCTATCTTAATGAGGCCTACAATTTAGTATGCAAGACAGATATTAATTCACTATTAATTTTGATAAACACTCTGAAAGAAAAATACAAGACACTTCAGAAGTGTAAAATACAGACCCTGGTTCTACTTAGATGAATGCTGTGCAACAGAACTTTCTGTGATGATGGAAATGTTCTATATTCTGTCTTGTCCAATACAGTGTCTACATGTGCACTTAAAATGTGCCTTGTGGGGGTGCCTGGCTGGCTCAGTCATTAGAACACACTACTCTTGATCTTGGGGTTGTGAGTTCAAGCCTGATGCTAGGTGTAGATGTTACTAATAAAAATAAATAAATAATTTTAAAAAATAAAATATGCTTTATATCCCTGAGGACTAAGATCCCATACTGGCCTCAAACAGTTTGTGTTCTAAAGAAAACAGAGATGTAAGCAAGTAATTACAGTGTTATAGGTGAAATGCAAAACACAATGATACACAGAGAAGGGAACAGATCTTCTTGATGTAGGGAACAATGGAGATGGGACTGAAATGGCAAGTAAATTTTGCAAAATGTACAAGAATATTAACAAATGTCTGGCATCCTGGTGGAATCAATCAGGCTTTGGTTGAAATGCAGAGAAGAGAAGCTACTTCCGTTAGTTTATAGAAAGAGATTCATTACAAAATCATTGAGAATGCTGATGAAAACAGACTCTATGTTAAACTTGGAGGAAAAACTCACAAAGTCACCAAGAGAGTTGTTCTGTCTTCTCATCTCCGCAACTGACTGATATTATCATGAGACTGCCCTGATCAGGAGGCAGCTGCTTCCTATTGCTGTTCCGGAAACAAACTGTACCTGCCATGACCAACCGCAGCAAAAAGAGATGGCGAGCCCTTTGCTTCTTGACATCTATTGGGCCTTGTTGCTAGAATCTGGTAACACTAACACAATAAAATGAACCCCTTCCACAACAGGGCTTGCCAGCAGAAAGGGAAAAGTGGCAGAATCACCTTACTTATGCCTGCCCCTTCTCCCAGGAGTGCATATGATTGGCTGAACCTAAACCTCTTCTAGAACCTTAGCAGCAGAGGTGTCTGGAGAATGCAGTTTTTCAATTTCCAGTTTACTATCTAATACGAGAATAAGCAGTAGAAGGTGGTGTGGATGGTGCCTCCAGCTCCCTAGTAGCGTCCAGCCTCAACGAGTATTCTTAAATATGTCTCCTGATGGAACTGTGTGAGAATTTCCCTGGATGTTTACTCAGGGGTAGAATCCTGATACATAAACAAACTTTGCAAGACTCTGAATCACATGTGTGGTTTCTATTCCCACCAGGAGAACTAGGCATTTCTGTCTATTTCCACCTACAATTGGAAGTATGCACATTTATGAAAAGTTGTGTCACATTGATGGTAAGTGGCAGCCCATTGTTTTAATTCACCTATCTCTGAATACTAGTGAGATTGAACTTCTCTCTACGAACTGGCCACTTGGTCTTCTGAGTCCATGAGCTGTTTTTTTTTTTTTTTCCTTAATATCCTTTGCCAATTTTTAATTGATTTTCTGGCCCTGTTAATTTTGAGTTCTTTGCATATTCTAATATGAATTCCTTATTGGTTTTATTTTTGTTTTTTATTTTTTATATGGGGGAGGGGCAGAGGGAGAGGGAGAGAGAATCCCAAAGCGGGCTTCCACACTGAGCATGGAACCCGAAGTGGGGCTCAATCTCATGACTGTGAGATCATGACCTGAGCCTAAATCAAGAGTCAGATGCTTAACCTACTGAACCACCCAGGTGCTTCTGTGTTTGGAGAGTCTTACTGAAGAAGTCTTTCCCCAACCCTAGGTCACAAATTATCTCTTATAACTACTTTAGTGTTTTACCTTTCACTTTAAGTATTTATTGTTTTGGAGGGTAATTTTGTGTAGGACAAAATATTATATTGGAACTTTATTATTTTTTATATGGACAGTTAGTGTTCTAAATACCATCTATCAGTGTGCCTGTGTGGCTCAGTCAGTTGAACATCCAACTCTTGATTTCGACTCACGTCATGATCCCAGGGTCGTGGGATTCTTTCCCTCTGCCCCTCTTCCCCACTCATGCTCTCTCTCTCTCTCTCTCTGTAAAAACAAACAAGCAAACAAACAAAACAAACAACAAACACCATCTATTAAACAATTATTTTCCCATAGCTTTGTAGATAATTTTAAAAATCACATTTTAAGTTCTCATGTAAGCATAGGTTTACTTATTTACTTATTTATTTATTATTTCTGAGTAGTGAAAAAATGTTTTATTGAGTTCTTTGAATCAACTTTCAGTCCCTGAAAGGTCAGTATCAGATGGGGTCCCACAAGTCCCTCTCCTCTGACTTCCTCTCACTGCTTAACTTAATCCTTGGATAATGTGTGTCTCTAAATGTCTTTACCCCTATCATTCTCCTCCCCATGTGGCCCATACACCAAAAACCTTCCTTCCCAAGTCTTCAGGGATTGGGCCTATAAGTATCCAACCTAGTCTGTGCAGAACTCGATAGAAACAAGTTCTTGGGGGGGCGCCTGGGTGGCACAGTCGGTTAAGTGTCCGACTTCAGCCAGGTCACGATCTCGCGGTCCCGGAGTTCAAGCCCCGCGTCGGGCCCTGGGCTGATGGCTCAGAGCCTGGAGCCTGTTTCCGATTCTGTGTCTCCCTCTCTCTCTGCCCCTCCCCCGTTCATGCTCTGTCTCTCTCTGTCCCAAAAATAAATCAACGTTGAAAAAAAAAAATTAAAAAAAAAAAAAAAAAGAAACAAGTTCTTGGTTCCATTTGGAAGCAGCAGTTCATGGAAGTGGACCCAGGACATGTTGGAGAAGAAACAACCTGCCCCTAAACAGTGGGTCTGTTTGGTCTAGTTCAACTTCATCCCAAGCAAAGCCCAGCATTTAGAATAGTCAGGTTTTAAAATCAGTGATTTACTTTTGCAGTTCTTATCCTAAAGCTTCCTTTTCAGCAAAACAAACATATAAACTCCTGGTACTATTAGAAAAGCTCAGGAGCGTATGATCTAACAGTTTCTGTCTGTTCTTCTTTTTGGACAGAGATCACATCTCCTTGAGAGGACGATGGCCAAATTGCAACGTCTGTAGCTCCTTGGCACAGATCTTCATGGGTTCTATGTTCTCACCCTCTCTTAGGATCCCAGGACAGAAAAGTGGATAAAGAGGTTCTGAGGTAGATATATTTATGGAGGTGCATGCATGGAAACCATGGATGGCATTGAAAAATGAAATGGCTTTCAGGTTACAAGCAGGAAAATTCCCACCTCTGCAAGTTTGGGTTCATGTGGATCCAAAGAATTAATTGAGGTATCCGATCCATAGGATTAAAGTCCTTTTTCCCCCTTTTTACAGCTTTATTGAGGTATAACTTACATAAAATTCACCTTCTGAAAGCGGTGTTATTTAGTATTTATAGAATCGTGCAACTATCATCCATATACCGTTTTAGAAGATTACCATCACTCCAGTAAATTTCCTTGAGCCCACTTGCAGTCAATCCTTGCTCCCACTCGAAACTCCCACAACCATGGATCAGCTTCGTGTCTTTCTAAGTTTGCCTTTTCTGGACATTTCATCTAAATGACTTACACAATTTGTAGTCTTTTGCATCTGACTTCTTTTCACTCGGCCTACAGGTTTCGAGATTTATCTACGTTGTAGTACATATCAGTAAGCCATTCCTTTTTATTGCCGAAGAGCGCTCCATTGTATGAATGTGCCACATTTATCTATGCACCAGTTGATTATTTTCAGTTTTTGGCTACTGAGGATAATGTTGCTATGAGCAGCACACGTAGGTTTTTGTGTGGATATATATATTTTTTTGTTTCTTTTGGGTAGATTCCTGGTGATGAGGGAGCGTGAGGCAGGCTGAGGGCAAAACACAAGCTAGCACTCTCCCCCCAGGTGGGACATGTGTGATATTCCTTGGACACTCCCAGCTATCCCAAAACAAGAAAGGACAAAAAACAAATGGTTAAACTGATAGGAGTCTCCACCAGTTTAGCAGAAAAAGGCAATCCCATCAACAGCCTAAAGTC